GTTATACCACTTCGTTCACCAAAGAAGTGGATATGAGTTCATTAAAACAAGAATTTTTTTCAAATAGTCGTTAAAAAGTATGGAAACCGTTTTGTCACAAAAATACTTTTTGCTAAAAAGAGAGTACAATCGGCGCCTAACATGGAAGACCTATCGTGAGAACTCCCGAGAGATTTTAATGAAATCTTTTATTTAAGGTTCTGAAAATAGCTAATTAAAAAAAAATCAAAAATGATTAGAAGTAACTTTTCTAAAAAAGTATGGCTTTTACCACACCAAAATAGAATAAATAATTTTTTTAAAACCGTCTTTTATCTTTAAATTTCGAATCGGCCAATATATTTAAAACTGTGTAGGCTACATTTTTAAAAAAAGTTCGACCTTTTAGCGTCAAAAACTGTACTGTTATCGCTGCAGTTATGGGCCTTCGCCGTTTTATTAGTAAAAAGTGGCTAACCAAGCGAGACATTTTTCGCTATGTGTAGTGAGAAGTAATTCAGAGAGAAATACTACTTGTTTTATGCGAAATAATAATGAGTCAAATATTTCTCTAGAAGGCGATCAACGAAAACCATGCTAAACTTAAGTAAAAATATGGTTCTTCTAATGTTTGAGTACGAGATTGCGCTAGTGCATTTGCTACAGCAATATGAGCGAAAGCCAGAATAAAAGATTACTTTACTCTAGAGGAAATATTAAATTCTAGTGGAAAATCGCCACTATTTTTTAACAGCGTATAAATAACGAGCAAGTTATTACGGTTGACTCAGACAATGTTTTGGAGCATCGGCTGAATTCTCTCACTTGACTGGATTGGTACATATTTCTTAAGAGAGCCTGTCAAAATATTCACTGAGATATCTTATCAGCTGGCTATCCAGACAGTTCAGTTTGAAAACGTCTGGCTCCGTCATTTTGTCTCCGGGTCTCCTATAAAACTGATTTTCTTAGATGAAGCTGAAGCATACATCATTCGATGTTGATCGCTAATATATTGAAAATTCAATTCACGTTACAAAACTAAGTTTTACACAAATTTTTGAAATAATGTTGTTAATTAAATTTAAATTTCAAAACACTTTGAGTCAATGCACTTTACGAGAATAAACAGAGTAATAACACTTTTGTTACGAGGTTTCAGATGAAGTTTATTTGCAAATTGCTAAAGACCCACCTACATAGCGACTTTTCTTCTTACATCTCAGTTCCATATTACACATAACGAAATATGGAAGCATGTATTCGACAATGAAATGAAGTCCATTGTTATTAACACAGATAAATCAACAGCCATCGACTAAACGATTAATTTATAATTACAAAGCAACGAGTTGAGATATTTTTAGAAATAACTTAAGCAGTGTTCCATTGAAAGCTGTTTTAAATAATAATTTTTCGGAAGGTTAAAACACACATATTCCAACTCAGCTTGGCGCGCTCTCTTGAACCATGTATCATATCGCAAAATCAAAATGCTCTCGAATTTTGAATTTCCAGCACCTTATCTTCATTTCGAAGTTGCAGATGGTTCTATGCACTGAGGAAAACGAGACGGAAATTGTTGATGTTTAATGAAAAATAACAAAATTCTAAGTTTTTATATAAAATAGAAAATAAACATGTAACTTATATAGCCTGCACAGAGCGATTAGGAAAGCTCTGTTCGAGTTTTATAATTTCATTTAGGAAAGCTATAGGAGAGAGATAGTGAGATTCTTTCCCCAAAATGTAGGAAATGACAACTTCTACGAGTAAAACTTTAGTCAGCATCTATTCACTCACTATCCGGCATGTATGTCAGGTACTAACAATTCTATTTCTACTTTTATAAAATATTAAATATATTTTAATGAGAAAGTTTTCACCCAATAATCATAGCTGCTTGAGCTCCAGTGTCTGTCAACAATTATGCAGCCATTCTATAATATTTTTTCTCGCATAGACTACACACTGTTTAGCTCATATTGTCTTCGACTTATGTCAAAATAACGTCGTCTATTGTTCTTTTCTTTCTCATTCTACAGAAAGAGTGATATGGGTAGAATTTCGTCTATGTATAACATAATAACACAAAATAGATTTTTGAAAATACAACAGTTAATTGAACAAAATAGATTTTTCGACAATGCTATCAGATGTTGATCAGAATCATTATAATTATCATGCCTTTCAACTGGCCACCACTGGGGTTGCTACGTGCTTTGCAGTGGTTGTGTTTTTAAACAAAAACGGACAAAATTTGATATATATTGCTCATTTTAGCAACTTTTTTTCCATCGTATCACCATCACCGCAAGATTCGAAGTTGGAAACAAAAGATGCACTTGATTGTTTGATTAAACGTATTTATGAGAACGCATCATCCGAACACACTGTTCAATTTATACATGTTCTTTTCATTGGAAGTGATCAAAATAGCGGTTCTTATATCGCAGAAGCACTAAAAATGTTAATATTAGATGCAAGAAACTATTTATTATCTCCGGCACTGGCAAACTTTTTAACAAATATTACAGTCGTCATGATGGGTATTAATTTTATGGACGGAAAACAAACACCAGAAACAGTAACTGAATGCAAAATAGTTGCTCGTAGTGTACCAACGCTCACTGTGATAGTTCAAGTTGTATCGCCCTTCTCCGCTCCACTCTGTTTGATTCGTATTGATCTTTCAGTAATGACCATCGATACCATCATGTCTTCTCCAATGAATCAATTTGGTTAAAAAGCTATAAATCACATTCGATCCGGTATTGAGCATCCACTACTATTAGGAGATCAACAACCTCTCGCAGTGGGAAGTAATATTTCATTATTTAAATTTATACATGAAAACAACTTTAACATATATCAACTTCCATTATCTCCTTTACAAGTTGTTTTACCACAATTGTTTATACAGGACGCATCAGCGATTATCGCAAGCATCGATACATACCCTGACAATTTTGGAGGATATTCATTAGCTGATGATGAAGATATTTAGTTAACCGCGCTTTTCGAGAGTGAACTTCATTTATAAATTATTGTATCTTTGTGTTAAAAATAATGAAATATAAAATTTGTCCTATTGAATATAGGGAACATAACACATATAGTAAATTTTTATGTCTGAGTCAGATATTCGTTGAAATACGCAGTCAAAAATTTATGTAGTATCGAAAATCTATGTACTGATGAATGTGGACTGAAGTAATCGCACACACAAAAATACAAAGGACAAACTGGACGATGGTCGATAAGAAAACCCAAGACCAAAAGGTGGCGGACACGAGGTGAGAAACGAGATGTGTATGCACGACGACAAAAATGAGAAAAGAATGAAAAAGAATATAATGAAAGCGAATAAGGAAAAACGAGTGATATCGCTGGTGATTAGCGGCATCTACAGAGTATCACTCACGCTAACACCTACGTTTTTCAAAGTTCAGACTTTGCTCTTTCAATCAGAAAAAGAATTCACTTTCTACAATATTTATAGATGGAATACTATGGTTGAAGATTTTGGCAAATACTTTTGCATCGTACGTTATTTTTTGGCAAGCACTACGTTTGAGAACCTTAAATCCAAGTATAGAAGATGTTTCATGATATTTGGATTAAAAAAAAACTGAAGTATGCTGATCAGCTATGATTCTACTTTCCCTCGTGTTGAAATGGGTGGTATTCTCATGGAATCTCTCTTTTAAGTCTTGAAAGTTTTTGAATTTTATACATCCAGTGGAGCACTTGAAAAGAAAGCCTATATATTATACTGTATATAGGCTTTCTTTTGTTTTCCTTTTTTCCTTCTTATCGTCGACGCCATCTTTTTTTCTGTTTCTTGTTCTGTGTATAAAGGAGTTACTTTAGACACTCACTCACGTCTATTTCGTATAATTCTAATGAATGAAAATCAGTAACAGGATAGAAGGTTGTCACTGATAGTGATAAAATGATTAATTTAACATTTTTTCTAGTATATAGCCAAAAATCTCGTATGCGACTTCTCTATTTGTCGTTGGTGTACAAGCTGTCTGTGTAAGCCAGTGGCATTCAAACTCTGACTTTTCCGTGATGGTCAAATAGAGAAGTTGTAGACGAGATTTTTCTCTATTATATGAAGTGAAAAATGGAACAAGATCGCATGGTTCTAGCAATTTGTAGCTGTCTGATGAGTTTTGCCAGATGAGGGAACTAAATGGGTAGACTAACCGGGTCCAACTTGTTCGAGTGAAGATTGGAACCTCGAGTATTGTGGCTTTTGTTAGTATTAATGCATAAATTGATTATAACTTTCGAAACAAAGTGTTTCCAAAACTGGGGATGTCTCATTTTGTAGAAAAATATTCTCAAGCTGAATACTTTTGCAATGATTAAAAATAGTGCAGCGACCCTCGTTTTTTCTGTTGGAAAACACTTGACTTCATAACATGCTATGTTTAACTCAGCTCTGAATTTTTTTTCAAGATTGAGTAGCACTTTAAGTTGTAAAAAAACAACAACTTTATCGTATGTTGCAACCTTTCGGCAATTCTTGTCACTTTTGTGCGTTGTTATTTTGGGAATTCTATGATCCTTATGTTTAACTAAACCTATAAAGAAGGATATACTAAGATTCAATGACATTCAACACATTATCTGTGAGTGTTTTTGTGTTTCATTTACTCGCTGTTTTAATTTAAGGTGCTGGTAATTCAAAGTTGCAGCAGGAAATTTCTTTTCTCCTTTTAGGCATGGCTGTCCATCCACGTTTCTCAGCAATGAAACAAAATTATAAAAACGGAAATTTCTTTGCTCTTTTTGGTCATGGTTGGTTACAGCTCATCGAGTTGCATCGGAAAAACACAATCCCACATTTTAAGTAGTCATTTTTTGGTGGAAAAATCTAGAAATACCCATCTTTTTGAAAATAATTAAAAATCCGTGAAATTTTCGAAAACAAGCAAATTGTTCATGTTTATTTAATTCCAAAACTAATTTTTTCTGATTCTCCATCGAAAACTGAGTATAAAAAGTTGGATTTCTAAATTTTGAAGTTGAATTGAAACTGACCGCCAAATTCAGCAAACAGGAGCAGAATCGTAGCTACCGTATTGTCAAATTTGCAATTGTATCCAGTTTTTTCCGTCGAAAGACTAAGCATGAATTGTTATTTCCTTCTAATCAGTATACTTGTAGGAAAAAAAGTATGGAAAGCTTTTTTTAAAATTTTGTTTCGTTGCTGAGAAAATTCATTTTTTTCTAAAGCAGAAGAAAAAGTCGGAATTCTGATCTCAATTTTCTCTGTCAGAACTCAACTTTTGAGCAATAAAAATAGCATATTTGGGATCAAAAAATTGAGTCGACTGAAGTGTATTTCAAAATTTTTAGTTGATTTTCAGTTTTGAGTAAAAATCTCGGTAGTTTTTCAACGCGAAAATTCGAAAAAGACTAAAGTAGTTAGATAAGATAGAAATACACATCAGTTGACTTAGTTTTTGATCCGGATTCCAAATATGCTATTTTTATTGCTCAAAAGTTGAGTTCTGACAGAGAAAATTGAGATCAGAATTCCGACTTTTTCTTCTGCTTTAGAAAAAAATGAATTTTCTCAGT